GGGGGGGGGGGGGGGAAGACCGGCTGGGGGCACGTTTGGCTCAGAGGGTCCGCGGGACGCCCCTGTGGAGAGGAGGCACCGTCTCGGCCTCGCTGCGGCGGCTCTCTCCTCAGCCGCTCTCCGGGCAAAACGCGCTGCCCCGGGTCGGGTTGGTGGCGCTGAGGGGGTTTCCCCTCTCTGGTTTTCCTTGTAGACTGCAGGGAGGGTTTGTAACCTGAGCGAGGCAGCGGGCTGGCTTCATGTTTTTAAGTGATGAGGAAAATGTTTCTCGTACTCGTGGGCTGGGAGGAGGAAGGAGGTTTTTTATAGCGCTGCCTACTACACGGGGGTTTTCTCTCATCTGATGCCTTTTTTAGTTTCCTCGGTGCTTACTACGCGTACTTTACTTACACCCAGAATATGCAAAGTGCTTTTCAAACGGAGTTGCTATCCAAAGGCAAATAGAGTCTAAAAAGGGAAAGGCTTGAAACAATGGAAAAGAATAAAACGCACAAGTAGGGGCCTAATAATAGCGTGTGTTTTTTATGTTTCAGAAAAAGGTCCAAAGACTTGATGAGAAGCTTCGGGCAGACCTTGAAGGCTGTACACAGTGCTTATACCCTGCTGGTCAGCAGAATTTATTATACCTGCATGTAAACACACAAGCTTCTTTTTCCACATCTTTTTTCTCCACACCTCCCCTTCTGTAAGCTAAAGAACTCCAATCTAAACACAGACCTTTCCTAGTGTAAATGCTGATGTTTCACATTGTATACATCTGTCGTGAAGGGTAACCTGCCTTCTGCAGTTCAGCTTGTATATAATTGCTTTCAGCGTCAGGTAGAGATGTATTTAAGGTTTTTCATGATGATATAAAGCCTTCAAAGCAAAATTGATTTTAGTGATGGCAATGCTAAAATACTTAGATTGTCAAAACATCATCAAAATCAATGTGGGTTTTTTTATGCAGACCGGTCTTTTTATTTTTTTCAGAGCTAAATTATCCTCCCCAGATTTAGGCTTTCAAGACTGAGGTCTGGAAGAGTACCAAACTGATTCAGAAGCACAAAACTGGTTGTAAACAATGAGAAGGATTCTAGCCTGCTTGATGCACTTTAGCTTTTTGGACTTTTGAAGGCTCAGTTTATACAGTAAGGAAGTTTGAAGGGCTCTGATCTTTTTATCATGGTTAACCACTTTAAGATTAAAAGTTCTTAACAGAAAAATAATTCAAAGTTTGAAATTGCAGTAGTTCAGAAACTAAAGAAATAGCTATTAAATATCCCATTTGCACACCAGGAGCACAAAATGGGAACAATATGAAAAACCAAGCAATTTGTGTAATATTCAATTCCAGTTGGCTTTAAATAAATAATTAAAAATATTGATGCTTGTTTCTTTACTCATCACATATATGCTGGACATGAGAAAATCGGTAACTGCAAGGAAAACGGAAGTCAAGCATGAAACTGGCTTTAAATGAAATTAATGAAAAATGGTACGGCGTAGGTAACACCAACAACGTGGGTTGTTATCCATTCTGTTTTTTCTAGACAGGAAGACAAGCAAAAATGTAGAGCTAGCCCTTCATTTGAATCATTGGGGAATTTTTATTTATTTGACACGTTTCTGTAGTATTCTCTGTCACAATATGCATTTACTTCTGACTTATTCTGTGGTTTGGTTCTCTGCTTTTGAACTCTGGCAAACCTTTCAGTCATCGCACTCAGAAGGACAGTATCGAAGAGGCAGCCACAAACCGATGTAATACACGCTTTCTTTTTCCCTAAAACTGTTTTGTAAAGGTGAATTTATGTTCCACAAAAACAACTTTGACTGTTTCAGGTGTTAAAATAATACATATTAAGAGCAATACTGTTCCTCTGGAACCTTGAGCTAGCTTCCTACTGTACATTACTGCACTGGATATAATGTGACAGCCTGAAGTTATTTGCATCTAAACATGGTCTGCCTGACTAGACAGTCAAACTTACCTCTGTCCAGGTGTTGGATTTTCTTTGTCTGATCTGTACGACCCATGGAGGGAGTGTCTTGTTTCTGAAATAACAAGAAGAGAAACAAACACAGAGCTCCTGAAATGCTTATTTTCAGTATTACTAAAAATATACTTGACATGCCAATGGAGTAATTTCCTGTGGCCTCTGGTTGCCTGTGGCAAAGGATCCTCTTTCCATACAGTTTTATGTTGCCCTGAAACCTCACGGCTTAACTGATCAGTTAGGTTAATTGAGTCACGTCAGTTTACACCACTGGAGGGATACGTCCTCTAAAATTTAGTATGTGAATCCAATAGTTGTTTGCTTGGGGAATGGCAAAGGGCTGCTGTTCAAAAATTGCACGTGTTCAGCTATTTCTCTTTGTGATCTGTGAAATTCGGGGAATGACACCTGAAAAAGAGCATTTTTGCCTATCCCTGCTCTGTGCAAACACTTTATCATGGCTTGTGCTGCTGGTTGTTTAATTTCTGCATAAAATGAGACCGAACAAACAGATTGATTAGAACTCATTATGGCTACATATGTTGGAGAAGATTGTACGTATTCCCTCTCATCAGTATGTGCATGTGAAGGGGGGGATAAAGTTGACACAAAATCTTGAAGATGTTTTCACTCCTTGCTTCTAATAATGTTAAAATAAAGGTATCAGCCACATAAATAAAGTTGAGTTTTGTGCTACAAATCGCCCGTTCAAATTTTACGTTCATTATGAACCTGCGCCTCTTCTAGGATCTTATTTTATCGGGTCGTGGTGTATACAGCACCTTGGGCATGGAATCCTGAGTCGGGTTTCTCAGCTCAAAAGTCTCACATCCCATGATAATGTCGTCTTCCAAATACCGCAGCTCAAAATGTCATTATGGGCAGCTTTCTGAAGCGTCTAGTCCGTACTGGTTACAGAAAAAGGTCATTAACACCTCTAGATCCTTGCAAGCCTGATCCTGTGTAACATGGAATTTATCCCATTGATTTATATGCAGATAGCATGAGTAAGATGCTAAAAGCAGGATTATAAGAGGCTGAATCAGACTCCTTGTGAAGTGCCTTGAAGTTTAAGGGCTCTTTATGAGCACTGTTGTTGGGGTGATGATAATTAGGCCTGAAGTAATACCACAGAAACTTATTGGCACCTGAATGAGCGAAAAAGAGAAGTTGTTTCCTAACGTGAAGAAGGATCTGATCCAAGAAACTCCGGCAGACTTTAGCAGAACTGATTTCCTACGCATAGCTGGGGAAAGCAGAAATGTCTGCGCTGAAGTTAAATGGAGTCGTGCGTTTGTAAAGCGTCAGCAGAGGGACACAAGTCCTGGAGCCACGTAAATATTCATAAATTCGCCCGTGCAACGTGACCGTTTTTATTCATATTTTCGAGGCTATTGTATGCATTTTGGCGAACGACTCTGGTAGTGAATGACAGCGTTGCAGATTCCGGCTCGGCGGATGCTGCGAGCAGCCAGCGCTGACGGGCGCGGGTACGAATACAACAGCCTGAACAGCATTACAAAGGGCTGATGAAAACAGGGCTGCTGGGCGCAGGTATTCAGGCAAAGAGGTACGACCTGCCAAGGACAGGACGTTCCCTCGCGCAGAGGACGGGTCAGCCCTGTATCCAATCCTCAAAGCAGATTTTAGGGAGGCATTTTTCCCCTCCATCCTTTTCCTAGCACAAGCCAATCTGATCTGGTCTATCGAGATACATCGATACCAGGTGATACCATCCACAGCAGGTCCCGTTTTACCAAAATCAGGGTGTTTGTTTGCTTTCTTGTAGCAGCGGATTAAGCTGAAGCTTATCTGCACCCAGCGGTTACTACCCTGAAAGCAGAGAGCATGCGTAGGTGTCTGCAAGCACCTGCAGCTTTCAACCCGTTGTATTAGCATGAAATAAAACCGATGTCAGTTTGCGCTCATTTGCAGGGCTGAAATTGGTACGGGAGGAGGTAAACCTGCTGCTCAGCCGTTCCCGAGGGAGAAGCAGTTGACACTGGGAAAAGTGTGGAAGGAGAGCTCAGCTTAGTAACTTTTTCAGTCATCTGAGTTTAATTCACCCTCATATGTGAATCAAAGCCCTTATCAGCTGCAAAATGCCTATGGTAAATGTGCACCAGTTTAAGCTGAAGTATCAAATGCAAATCTATCACGGGAGGGAGACTTCCCAAAAGCACAAATGGCACGTGCCTCCATCTCATTGACTTTCAAAGGAATCCGGGATTCGGTCTGCCTTTGTGCTTTGGAATTCTTCTCATGCTTTAAAAAAGCAAAAGCCAATGCCATAACAATTCATTGTTTACACTTGTAAACAGCTTTCTCTTTAGGAAAAATATAGCAAGCTGTCTTTTTCTGCCTGCTAATTTACACACTCAATACGAAGAGACTTGCACGAACTTTGTAACCATATTTAAGTGTGTTAATCTCAATTTGGATCCTGCCTTAAAGGCTCCGTTCGCTTCCTTAAATGCTGGCATCTTGTGTCATTTGAGATTCTTTCAGAGGGGCAGCTGGAGGCCAGGCAGGATGCCCTGGGGTCACTGGATCTTCCCTAGATCCAGGGTCATACCCCACATGGCTCTCAGCCGCTTTGTGTCCAAGAGCGCTAAATGTCTATGTTTTAGCAACTGAATTGAGCTTAGGTGTCTGGCTTTTTTGGCTGGATGAAGTTGGGTGAGGTCATGAATCCCAACTCAGGGATTAACGGTTGGACTTGATGATTTTAAAGGTCTTTTCCAACCTAAACGATTCTATGATTCTATGAACTCCTTAGTCTCTTCTG